CCTGCCTCGGCTTCCCAAGTGCTGAGATTATAGCTGTGTGCCACTGTGCCTGGGCTGGGGGTTGTTCTCTTTTTGGGTTTGAAATACTTCACTGCAAGCTCTTGAGATTTTGTGTTGAAAAGTGTGTTGTGATTCTGGGCTGCTTCCTATAAGTGATTTCTTTTTCTCTAGCAGCTTTTAATATGCAGCTCTTGTATTGAATTCATGGAATCTTGACAATTATATTCCTTGGTGTGGAGTTCTTTGAGCATAACTAATTGAAGTTCTACATGCCTCATTTCTCTGTATGCAAAATTTTTTTCCTGCATAGCAAGTTTTCTGCCATTACTTCTGTGAACAGGTTTTTTATGTTGTTTGTGCTATTTCCTGCGTTTTCATCGACTCTGATCAATCTTATGTTATTCTTTGTATCATCTAGCAGCTGTTGGATTGATTTTTCATGGTATCCTGCTGTTTTTAAGAAATTTTGATTCTCATGGTTGCTAACCAGATCTTCTATATCTGATATTCAGTACTCACATTGGCTCGTTCTACAGCTTACTCTTTCAATGAAATTTTTAACTTTTTTTTTGGTCTTTTTCTTTTTTTAAATTGGTATCAGGGATCGAACTCACGACCACACATTTGCAAGGTATGTGCTTATGCCGCTGAGCTAAATCCCCAGCCCCACAATGAAGTTTTTAATTCTGGGATATCTGTTTGCATTTGTTTCATGGATTACATTTTTTTCTTATGTTTGTTTATGGTTGCCATAATTTTGTAAGTACTTCTGTTTTTTTAAAATCTGTATCTGCTCTAAAGTCATTAATCATGTCTTTCATGATGCTCACCATCTCTGTAGTTATGTGAGAAATTATTTCTGATTTGATTTTCTGTGGAGCCCCATTGATTTACTTTGTTACTTCTTGTGTTACCACTCTATGGAGAGCCAGTGGATGGCTTTCCACTTGTCCCATTTCACTGCCCCCTGGGTTTGTAGTGTGGTAAGTTGGAAATCTGGGGTTGCATCTTGCTTAAGGTTCTTCTCATTTTCTATTTTTTAAAAAAGTTTAATTCCTGTGTTGATACTTGTATATTACTATGGCAGGCAGCTTTATTGCTAGTATTTAGAACACTTAGGAAATGACTACTTCTCAGAGGTGTCTTCCAGGTATAGCTGGCTTTTGGGTTTTGAGTCTGTTGCAGCATCCTTCAGTTAATGGGGGATGAGAAGTTGCTGCCTATTCAGCTCAGTGCCCTCTTCTTTGTCGCTGACCTGTTGTTTATGACCCTTAGGCAATCTCAGACCTGGCATAGCAGAAAGAACAATTGGTTAGAACAGTTATGTCACCTCTGTTAATGTGACAATCAGCAACAACAACAACATCAAACAGCTTAGAAAATGACAGATTGTGAGGACAATTAATTGCTCATTTTTACTTCTGTGAGCTATATTTGTGCTTACACAGCAAAATCGAAAACAAACCAGAAAATTGTATGTCATAAATATACCCTCAGTATGGCAATTGTACCCTTAGGGGAGAAAATTTAAAATGAGTTAGGTAGACAAAATAGCAGAATAAATGAAGAAGAGATTAGAAACAAGGTTGGAGAACAAAGGAAGATTATTTAAACTTTGAAAAACTCATGAAGAAAACAGGAGAGAAAGAGAGAAGAAGAATTAGAAGGAAGAATGGAAAAGAACAACAACAACCCGAAAAACTAGAAATAATGTTTGTACTCGTATAAAAACAAGAGAAAACAAGTCAAGGAAGAAAGTCAAAAACAAAATAAAAAGAAGAAAAAACAGTCCATAGTATATCACTGGTAGATATCACGGGTAGACAGAGTAGGCAGACAGAGCCCAGACCTGTGTTCATTAAGTCCGGCAAGCTAGCTGTAGATTTATGGCGGGTAGTGCATAATCCCAGCAAGCCTGCCCCTGTAGTTCCACTGAAATCCCGGCTGGGCTGGTTGTGAGACTGGAATCCAGTTTGTGCAGCTTGTAATACTCTGTGTGCCTCCTGTCAGCTTGAACTGAGCCCTTTGATGTCCTACCAATTTGAACTCAGTCCTGTCTCACCCTGACACCGGGCGCTGCTAGATGGAACCAGCTGGTAAGCTGCTCTGAGTTATGAGCTCAGTTTGTCTCTCTCCACATTGGCTACTGGCCAATTGCCCTCTTCTGGGAGATATCTGAACCCAAATAACTCACCAGGCACTGCAGGCCACTGCGTCCACTGCACGATTCCACTGGTGCATTTCTCTGTGGAGGCCTCTGGGGTTGCTAATGGTCACCACGTATCTGCAGGTTGGAGTTGCTCTTCCTACACAATAGGAAGCAAGCCTACACTAGATGGCAAGACTCTGTCTCCAAAAAAAAGTTGATGGAGAAATAAAATACTTTCATGATAAAGAGCACCTAAAGAAATTCATGCTAGGTGTGGTGGCACATGCCTTTAATCCCAACACTCCAGGGGCTGAGGCAGGAGCATCACTGTGAGTTTGAGGCCAACCTGGACTGCATAAGTGAGTTCAAGGCCAGCCTGGGCAATATAGTGAGACTCTGTCTCAAAAACAAAACAAAACAAAACTCAAAATAAAACAAAGCAAAACAAACAAACAAACAAACATAAAACAGCAAGAAATTCATGACCACCAAAGCAGCACTCCAAAAAATTTTCAAGGATACTCTAGAAAGACACATTAAAGCTAACAATGATGAAAAGGTCTAATAGAATAAAAACACCAGGTAGGCTGAGCAGGTAAGTAGAAGGCAAAGATAGGAATCAACCACAGGAAAATAAGACAGTGAGTGATAACTCAGTACCTGCCAGTAATAACTCTCAGTGTGAATGATCTCAATTCCCTAATCAAAAAAGACAGACTGAGGGAATGGATTAAGAATCCAGTAGTATGCTGCATACAAGAAATATTTAACCTCCAAAGAAACTTGTAGACTAAATATCAAAGCATGGAAAACAGTATCCTATGCAACAAGAAAAAAGGGAGGTGCAGCGATCTTATATTTAGACAAAGTGGACTTAAAACCAAAGCTGATCAAAAGAGGCAAAGAAGGTCACCACATATTGGTTAAGGGAACAATTCGCCAGGAAGAGGTAACAATTATTAACATGTATACACCAAACAACGATGTACCCACTTCATAAAACAAGTACTACTGAACAGAAAAGATCAGATGAACGTAAACATAGTGTAACATGGGAGCGCAGTACTCATTATCACAAATAGACAGATCATACAAAAGAATCAACAAAGAAATACCAGAGTAGAACAAAACTTTTGAAAAAATGGACTTGATAGACATACAATAGAACGTCCCACACAACAGAATACACATTTTTTTCAGCTGCACATGGAATTTTCTCCAAAACAAACCGCAGTCCAGACAATTACTTAACCTTAAGTAAATATAAAAGAATTGAAAATTTACTATGTACATTATCAAAACATAAAACAATGAATTTAGAATTCAATGACAAAAGAAAACACAGAAATTATGGAAATGCATGGAAACTAAACAATACACTCTTAAGTAAAAATGGGTTATAGAAGAAACCAAGGAAGAAATTAGCAGTTCCTAGAACTAAATGATAAAGCCAGTACCACACGCCAGAACCTTTGGGACATGGTGAAAACAGTTCTAAGAGGGAAGGGTATAGCTGTGGGTACCTTGCCCCAGATTTAGAGACGCAGGCAGGGAAGACACACTGAGAATGCCCTGTGGCCAGGAACTCTGCCTCGGTTTCTCAGAACATGAGTAACTGTGTAAGCCAGCTTTCTGTCACTTTAACAAAATTCCCAAGAAAGTCAGTTGAAAGGAAGAGTTATTTTGTCACACAGTTTCAGAGGTTCCTGATCTAGCCAGAACATGATGGTAAGGAGTACACAGAAAAACAGATGTGTTCAGATGGAGACCCAGCGAGGAAGGGACTGGAGAGGCAGATGCTTCCAATGCGTCCCCTAGTGACCCGACTCCTCCAACTAGGTCCCACTTCCTCACCACCTCGTCAGCAAATGAACCAACTCAGCAGTGGGTTAGTCTATATATATATATATATATATATATATATATATATATATGTAAAATTTTGAAAGTAGTAAAATACATCAAAGCAAGACAGAACAAAGTCAATAGAGACAATGCAGTGAAACTGGTACAAAACTTCAAAGCAGGATACCGGGATAGCAGTAATAGGTACCATAGTATATCTCGTTATCTTCACAACAGTTGTCCATTCAATCAGGCATAGCCAAATCAAACCAAAAACAGAACACTATAAAACCAGTCAGAACAGAATATTGAATAGAACAAAACAATTCATCAGAACAAAGCAAAACAGGGAAAACAATATTGGCCTTCAAAGAGAAGATAGAAGGGAATCCCCATATTTGCTACATTGCATACTGTCATCCTCCCAAGAGATGCTCAGACCTCTGGCCCCAGGTCAGCATAATCAGTCAAACAGTACAAGCATTTAGTTTCTCTGTGTGCATTAGTTGCTATCAACTCAGGCTGTCCTGGGCACCATCCAGTTGCTAACAGGTGTGTGTGTGTGTGTGTGTGTGTGTGTGTGTGTGAGTGTGTGTGAGGGGATGGGATGGAGTCTGAGGGCTTTGGGGTGGACCGGTAGGCTCATGGGAGACACTGACTTGCTCTCTCCCTGGCGCACCTGCTTGTGCCCACCACTTTCCCAGGAAGGAGGGCTTGTTGCTTTTTTGCTCAGCCCCCCAAGTTCCAACATGGCTGGATCGCTGTTTGTTCTCAGGATTAGTCTAACTAAGCTAGAGCCCTGGTGATTCAATCACTTCCCCAAAGCCCAGCAGCTGGCAACTAAACTTTCAACACAAGCCTTTGGGGGAACATTTTGGATTCCAGCCGTAACAGTAGCTGAGGAGCTACTCTTGCCCACATCGGGTTGGGTGGCTCAGGAAGGGAGGGCAGGATTACAAGGCTCTGCATTTTGGTTTGACCTCTCTAAACTGTGCCACTCCTTCAGATCTCAGAGGTGGTCTTTGTGTCCATCTACACCTGTGAATTCTTCATGAAGGTCTACGTGGATCCTGTCAGCTATTGGAAAGATGGCTATAACCTGCTGGACGTGGTCATCCTGATCATTATCTTCATCCCCTATGTGCTCCGTGAGGTCAAGAGTAAACACTTCTATCTCAACATTGCTGATGGCCTGCAGTCCCTGCGCATCCTCAAGCTTATCACCCATACCCAAGCCATCAGAGTGAGTGGGCTGGGAGCTGGGAGGGAAGGCCATAACCACACCTGCCCAGGAAATAATGTTTGACTGCTATCTTAATGTCAGTGAGCCCTACTGTGTGACAGCTTGATCTATATTGATATTATCTCAAGCAATCTAAAACTATCATAAGAAAGACATTATTAGCTTCATTTTAGCTTTTTGGCAGCCTTGACCACTCAATGCTTCTCCCAGTGGTTGGTAGCCTGCTTCTCTTCTCTGTGGGAACATGTGAGTTTGTTCACTTTAAGGAAGCCCTGAAGTATTACTCAGTGGGTCCAGGACAAGCCTCGGAGCTGACCCCTCACTCTCAGACAGGCATGTGTCCTGGGCACAGTGTGTTTCCCCTGCCCACTCTTTCCAGAAAGCGGCTGGGCTATTTGTCTGGTTGGAGCATGTTCCATATTCTGCTGCTGTACCCTAGCTCCAGTCAGGAAGTGTGAGAGGACCCCACCCCTGCTGCCACACGCCAGTCACTGTTTCTTGTTCTCATGCAGTCACTTGCTGCTCTCTTGTCTCTCACAGTGCCCTCACTTCTCTCCTCTTTCCCGAGCAACTGTCTCCCTGAAGTTGCTAACAATGTTCTTGTCCCTAAATCCAGTGGCTATTTCTAGTATGCTTGTCACTGGTCTCTTTTTCCATATTCACTCTGGGTGGGGTGTGTGTGCATACTGGGGATTTGATCCAGGGCCTGATGCTTGTAGACAAGCACTCTGCCATTAGACTGTGCCCCCAGTCCTTTTAAAAAAAAAAATTTAAATTTTGAGGCAAGGTGTCACAAAGTTACCCAGGCTGGCTTTGAACTCATGATTCTTTTGTCTCAACCTCCCCAGTAGCTGGGATAATAGGTGTGTGCCCCTGGGTCTGGCAATGTTTTCCCCTTCCCAGAGCCCTTCACCGACTGAATCTCATGCCATGACCTTTTGACTCAGCTGTGTCCTGGCATCTTGTGTTCTGCAAACACGTGTGTCAACTGCCCACCTACCAGGCTGCCTCACTCCCACCTGCAAATCCCCAATGCTGGCTCTTCCTTTGCTCTTTTGGGGAAGAGCCCCCCACCACACACTATTTAGTCATCAAGTCTTGTCTGGGTGTCCGCTTTGATTCTTTCTGCCCAATCTTGTCGTACAGCTTCCTAAATAGTGATGCACTTGTCCACGTCTTTCTACCCTTGCCCCCTCCAGGCTTTGCCTAGATTTCTGCAGTGGTTTCCCGTGCAACTGAGAGCCCTGGATCAGAAATGCATTGAAAGCTTGGGGGCATCTTGTAGAGGCCCCTCAAATCACAATACCTCTTCTTAGTAGGCTAGGGGCAGGCCCTGTAGTGTGCCCTAGCAGGAACAGAGGGGAGGGTGAGGTGCTGGGGGTCAGAGTTGGTCTCAGGTAGGGATAAAAGCAAGCTGGATGGACAGAACAGATGACTAGATGCCCTTGGGGTTGGTGTCAGGTGGTGGTGGGCACTTCCAGAATGAGGGCCATCAGGCAGAGAGCTGCAGCCTGGAATGGCTCAAGGGTCACTAAGATGAGGAAGGCTGGGGATGAAGAGGCCTGATAGATGGTGTGTCAGCCATAAAGGTGCTAAGGCAACCTAGGCTGACAGCATGCTAGGGCGGGGAAGGACGTGGTAGACCTGGAGGCAGAGATTTCAAGGCACTTCGATCAGATTTCAAGGATGGAAAGCTGGAAGTTTGTCCCTGCTCAGAAGCAGGGATTTTGCCCATGAAGTGGGGGTGCTCCAAGGACAAGGCAGGGAACCCCCTTTCTCCCAAGATACATGAAAGATTGGCAGCCTCTCTGGAGGAGGCTGCTGGGGCATGCGTCCTTGGGTAAGGAAGGACTTTCAGGTGAGGTCAAGGAGATGACAGCATGACGCAAAGGTGCCAGACCCTGGGGGAGTCATGAGGAAAGGGGCAATGGCCTCTGGCCTAAGGGAGAGGGAGCCAGAGCTGTGCAGAGAGGGGAAAAGCAGGAGGATTTCATCTTGGAAGGAAGGTGTCGTGACCCTGCTTGGCACCTTGTGAGGCTGGGGACACTGACTGCCTGCCCAGGGCACCAGTCTTGGCTGTCTTGTGGTGGCCTGGTCAGAAAGCAAAAGCCAGAAGGAGCTTGGTGCTGAGGGCCTGGCAAAAATAGACGCCATTCCTTCTTGCCTGAGTATCTCAGAGCTGTATCCCAGAGCAAGCCAGGCCTGCGTGGTGATTTCAAGCTGCTGCTTAGTCTTTGGTCCTTGTAGACACAGAGCTATGAGCCTCACAACATGCCAGTAGTGCACAGTTCAGAAAGGTGCAGAAATCCATGCCAGGAAAAGACTGTCCAGAACCCCATACGCCAGGAGCTCCTCGAGGGAAATCCTGGCTTTCAAGATCTACAGCTTGGCCCCAAATAGATGCCTAGTTTTGAGATCCCAAAGGATTTGAGGAAGCAATTACCAGCACCTAGTTCAGCTCTCTTGGCCTTGCCTTTTCCACCCTGGGACATTCTGGGAACAGAAAAAGACCTCCACTCATGCCAAGGGGCCAGGGTCAGGTCTCTGAGGAAGCCCCGCTAAGCAGCTCCTGGGGAAAATGATGGGGCTCCACAAGGAGGAGACAGGGAGGCAGGGGAGGCTATTGTTCACAGCCCGGCATTGAGGTTTGTGGCTAGGATGAACACAGATGCACTGGAGCAGTGTGGCCCCTGGCTGCTCAGCAAACAGAACTTCTCTTGTGCAAAACAAAGTACTATTTCCCTATAGAGCAGGCTTTTTGCTGTTAGTAGAAGGTAGGGCATCGTCTTCATGAATCAGGGGTCAAAAACCAAGAATGTACCAGAATGCCAGCTCTGGGCACTGAGACTGAACCTTGGTTAGGGCTCCTTCAAACTGCAATGAATGTAATCAGCACAGGGGTGACAGGCCCCATCTTGGCAGCTCTAGTTCCCTTGTCCAGCAAGCAAGACTGGTGCACAGAGGGCATATAATCCAGGGTCACTTCTGCATCCCTGGGGATCAAGGAGCCTATGACATCCCAATGGCTACAGTACAGCCTTAGCTGACGCAGCCGGTGATCCTCTGGGGCCACATGCTTAGTAACAAGAAAACTCTGAGCCCAAACCTGGGACACAATATATATAATATCCACTTGCTCATAGCTCTGCGAGGAGCATTCAGGGATGGACCTCATCAGTGTGGATTAAGTTAGAAATGCAATCCACCTCATATAGCGTAGGACTTCCTGGGGTGACCCACAGAGCCAGAGTGCTCAGTAATGAGAATAGGGGAGGCCACTCAGACCTGAGGTGGTGTCACCTAGCTGCCCACAGGTAGCTGAGGATGGTGCCAGATAGCAGTAAGCCACTTTTAGATTGATGGGTGTAGTTCTGATTCGCTTCATTGATTCATTCACTGACTCCTGTGTACTCTATGCCAGGCATGGCACCAGGTGCTGCGAGCAGCTGTCCTCTGAGCCCACCCAGTGAGGTGCCCTGACCCAGCTGCCATCTCCCTGCCCCGCAGACACTCATCACCGCCGTGGGGCAGATCGTCTACACTGTGGCCTCTGTGCTCATCCTCTTCTTCATCCTGTTGTACATCTTCGCTATCTTGGGCTTCTACTTGTTTGAAGTTCTGGAGAGCAGCGACATGAACATCTGGGGAAGCCTGGAAACAATCTTCTTTACCCTTTTCAGCTTGGCCACGGTACTGTGTTTGGGAACAGTAGAGTCGAGGTCTTCAGAAGGGACTTCCTGGGTGGTATGAATGTATGGGCATGCTGGGCCTCGTGGGGTCTTACCTGTCTGTGTTCATGTACTTAACTGGGTCCCTGGAAGTTGGGGGCTGGTGTCCTAGCACTAGTCAGAAGCCAGTGGCCTGGAGAGGGGTTCATCTTTCTCTCTAATCCATTTTCATATGTACCACAGGGCCATAAGACTTGTCAATGTGGATTAAGTTAAAAATGAAGCTGGGCATGGTGGTGCACTCTTGTAATTCCGGCATTTGGGAGGCTGAGGCAGGAGGATCATTACAAATTTGAGACCAACCTGGATTACAAAATGAGCCCAAGGCTCGTCTGAACCACATAGTGAGACCATGTCTCAAAAAGACAAAAAAAAAAAAAAAAAAAATCTATGTCATATAGCCTTTTTTAGAAACAGGGTGTCGTACAAATCATCCAGATTAGGCATGGTACTGACTGAAGTCTAGACTTTGTTGTACTCTAAAAGGGACTACATAGTGAGACACTATCTGAAAAAGAAAATAGAGTGGGTTCTTTTCAAAGGTGGGCTTGGCAAAAGGCAGTGTCCTTTCAGAGGAAACGGAAGACCTTAAGAGAAGAGACCCAGTATGTTGGCTGCAGTCCAGTAGTGCCATGCATTGCCAGGCCCCATGCCTGGGGAGGTGCTGAAAGGCTGCCGCAGGGGTGGAGATCATCTGCTCCTCAGTGGGCTGGGGCTCCCCTAGCATTGGTGAGGAAGACTTCTCTTGGCCAGCCTTGGCACTCATGACACCCTGCTTTGCCTGACCAGGTGGAAGGCTGGACAGATGTTCAGGAGCAGCTGGAGAAGCACAATTTTATTGTGAGCCGAATATTCACCATTGTGTTCATCTTGCTTGCCTCGTTCATCTTCCTCAGCGTGTTCGTGGGTGTCATAATCATGCCAACCGAGGTGAGGCTGTGCTTGTAGGGAGAAGGGGATCCATCGGGTGTGGCAGGCGGTGGTGAGGGTCAGGTATCAAGGAGAACCCAGAGGTGTGTCTCTATCCTGAAGTGGAGTGGAGGTCTCGAGCTGGGCCCTCCCGTACTTCTCAACTCTTCTCCCTGAGATTGTGCATTTTTCTTTCCTTATGATGGTGGCTGAGCTGGGGGCTGGCTCGAATGGGGCATGCCCTCCTGCTGAGAACCTAGGCAGCAGGGCCAGGGAAGGCAGGGAGGAAGACTGCAGGGCAGAGAGTGTACTGAGAGCCTTCCCCTGCCTTCCACCTCTGACTAGGTCTCCATCAAGAAGTTTAAGAAAGACCAGGTTCTGAAGAAGCGCATAGAGGAGAAGAAGCAGATGATCCTGAAACGACAAAAGGAGGAGGTCAACAGGCAGATGCAAATCCGGGTAGGTGGTCCCATAGCAGGCAGTGGACGGCTACCATCAGAGCTAGAGGAATGGCCAGAGGAGGGGCCTCAAGGCCCATGGAGGGAGCAAGTGGCTTTGGGCATGTATGGTGTAAGGTAAGTGAGGTGTGCTTTCCTCCTTATACCTGCCAAAGCCAACCTTTTCTTTCTATAGTTTTGTGTCTCTGCACTGTTTGAAGTGGTGTGTGCTGTGATTAGAACATTCCCTCCTTTGTGGGCAGGGCTGTGCCGCAGGGCTCTTTGGGCTAGGTTAGTCTACGCTAGAGCTTTTGATGAGGGCTAGCAGAGCCAGGCAGCACAGCCCAGGCCCCTGGTGGGTCAGGACAAAGTGGCTCCTGCAGCTGACCTCAGCCTTGATTTTTTTCACACTTCTAAAGCCAGAGCAAGAGCCAGGCATGGTGGCACATATCTGTAATCCCAGAAGTCTGGAGACTGAGGCAGGAGGTCAGCCATGAGTTCAAGGCCAGCCTGGGCTACATAGAAAGAACTTGTCTCAAAAACACAAGACAAAACAAAATGAAACAGAGCAGGAGTGAGCGTAACAGGTGGTTCTGACACTCCTGTGAAAAACGGGGTGTTTACTTCTCTGCCTAACTGCTCTTGGCCCAGAAGCCTTTTGGATGTCTTCATCTATTCTTATGTCCCTTGCCAGCCTCTTCTCCGAGGCGGAGACATCTGCCCATTCAGATGGTGCCCAAAGGGTGTCCAGGGCTGGGAGAGGCTGCACTGGGCCACATTGAAGCTCACTGGTTCCTCTGTGTGTCCCTGACCTCCATCAGTGACTGTGGGTTATGAGGGGACAACCCACAAGGGCCAGGCTCAGAGGGGTCAGGATGACCTTGTGACAAGGCTTAAGACATCCCGGGGCCAGGGAGAGGCCTCTCTGTGTAGCTTGGTTGTCACCTTTCTGTCATTGTTATCTTCTTTTGCTCCCTTCTCTAGAAAACTGAAACTGTTGAAAAGAGTCTCAGTGATTTGATGGAGAAGCTCAAGAAGACCCGGCCAGACACTCACCCCATCGTCTTGGGTGATTTCGGCAGTAGCTTGCTCTTCATCGACATATACTTGTCCATTTTGGACAAACAGGATGCCACTGTCAAAGAGTTAGTTCCTATCCCAACATTTCCTGGTCCCCAGGACTTGAGGTTGGGCTATATTGGGGGCCCCAGTAGGGTTGTTAACTGATATATGAGTGCCCCAAGGTCCTTTGACTGGGTAGTTAAGGGTCCCATGTATGCACAGGCTGTTCTGCTTCATAGAGAGACCCATGACTTGGAGGAATTTGTACCCCCTGCCCTTCCTTTCCCTTGCTTGGCTTTGACAGATATTGGCTCATTCAACCTTCACACTCTTTGTGCTCAAAGTATGCTGAGCAGGATTATAAATGGCCATTACTAAGCCGGAAGGATGTAAGCACCTGAGAACTAGGGAGCCAGTGAACTCTTGAGCAAGGACAGACATAGTTAGCCTGGCTTCTCAATGAAAGACCCTAGAGGGCTTCAGAGACTGGGGACACTAATACAGAAGGGACCAAGGAATGCCTACTTTTGGCCCAAGAGAAAGTGAGGCACTGTCCGGGGACCCCCACACAGTTCCTGCTCTTACAGTCCAGTGGCTCCTCTCCAACCTGTTGAATGAAGTGAAATAATTCATTCTAGGAGGCCCCAGGCAGGAGGGGGCCCTGGGCTTCCAGCTCACCTGATCTGGTTCTGAACTCCTGTTCATCTCTGACTGCACACCTGCCAGGTGTGGTGAATGTGGGGGGTGCACTATGTGATGGAGTCCAGATTGGGGGGCATGAAGCCCACCCCATCCTTACATCCCCTGTCTTCCTTTTCTGCTTTCCAGGCTTCAAGAGCTGTACCAAAAGACCATGCAGGTGCTGAGCCTGATGCTCAAAGACCTGGCCCAGGAGAAGAGTTCTGAGTCCTTAGAAAACATCTATGAGAAGTAGAAGGGCATGTGGGGAAGTACCCAGGCGCTGGAGTCCTTGCAGGCTGAAACGTTACCTATTAAATGCAGGATTTTGCAACTGGCCTCTCTAGAGTTGCTGTGATCTTGGTGCTTCCTCACCTTTGGGGGTAGGTTTGCATAGATACCCATGAAGCCTGAGAACCCCGTGGCACAGAAGACCTAGGGAGTGGGGGGAAAAGAAGGTTAAAACTAGCCCTGGTCAAGAGCCACATCCAGGAGCCACAATGGCGCTAGCCTTCCTGGACCTAGCAGGAAGGGCCCACTGGGTCCAGGGGAAGCTGCCAGAGGACCACAGGCACAGAAAGAGACTTGTCAAAGTGTGTGGCCATGCCCATGTGGGAGCGAGCCTTGGACAGCTGATCTGTGTGCAGGCCCCAGCCCTGGCAGGACTGCAGCTCTCTCTGTGTCCACTGCTGCGGAGACCCCTTTGGAAGCCTACTCTGGCTTTCCCCAAGCTCACCCCCAGCTGTGACTGCCAGGAGCCTGTCATATGGGCTAGAGCTCTGCCTGTGTCACTGACAATGTCAGGACAATTTGTACCCTGGCCCAGGGCAGCAGTAGCAGACCGTTTCCCTCCTGTGGACCATTAGAAGTGTCCACTTAAAGTGCCACTTCTCCATCATTATGATGGCCAAATGACCACCAGGCCCTGGCATCACTTTGCCCCAGCCACAATGGAGCCAGCAGCAGGTCTCTGTAGGGCAGAATGACTGGCACCCCTTGCTTCAGACTGGCCAGCTCAGACCCCTGGCAGCACCTGCTCTGCTCCCACTGCTGGGGTGTGTGCCTGAGGGCTGTCACCTTGGTCATGGCACCTCAGACAGAGGACAGGATGAGTTCTGGTTAGAGCTTGGGAAGGGGACTGGCACCCATAGCTGAGCAAAGAAAGGTCTCAGATATATAATAAGTCAGACCAATAAAAAAATACATGGGGTAGAGTGAGAGGGGCTAGAACAAAGGGTTTTGTGGTCAGGCCCATGGGCTCCTAGCCTGTGTGATGGTACACTGAGGCAGGAGACCAGGCAGGCAGGGGACTGGGCAAGCGGGCAGGAACCTTCCTCATAGGCTTAGCCATACATCCCCCACTGTCTTCTGAGTTGTGCTGAGTGTGGATGGTTCAGAGACAAGAAACCTGCAGTCCAACCCTGGCCCACTTGGTACTCATAGTTGTATAGGGGAGTCAGTAATCCAGCCGATTTCCCTGAGGACGTGACAGTTTGAATGCAAGGAGCGCCTTTCTTGTGAGATATCAGGGTCATTTCCATTTGCCACTGTGTGCACCTTCTGGGCCACAGTAAGAGTGGTGAAAACATTTCCAAATAATTGCTCGTGAGTGTGGGATGCATGGCCATGCTGGAGAAGGCTCTCCGGAGGGCACTTTGCCAGTGCCTGGGGTGTCAGTGGGAGGAAGAGAAGCTCAGAGCCTTCTGCCTGCCTGGTAACTCCACACTAGAGCTTCCAAGGAGTCTGATGAGAGCAGCCCAGTTGGCAGGGTGCTCCAGTTCATTCACCAGGGCTGGAGCAAAGGAGGTGGTTGTGACTGTTAACAACTCACACCCATGCTCCCACTGGGGACCCTGGAAATTGCATCCAGAAGTGAGTAAAAGATTTGAAAACGTGCCTCTGGTGGGCAAGAGAGAAATTACTATGGTTTTAGCCAGGAGACCTGAATTCCTTAATCTAATGACTTTGGGAAAGGTGTCTGATTTGTTTTTTTTTTTTTTTTTTTTTTTTTTTAGACAGGGTCTGTCTACATAGGCTGGTCTGGTCTTGAACTGATGGCAAGCTTTTTGCCTCAGCCTCCCAAGTGCTAGGACTATAGGCATGTGCCACCACATCCAGCCGTGTTTGGTCTTTTGAGGCCTCAGTTATTTCCCCTGAGGAATGGGATGACAAAAGTGACCAGCTACAAGGATCAAGAAGAATACATATAGAAGTGTGAAAAAGATGTCAACTCATGATTGATGTTTTCTGGCCGTTGGCCCTCATTTGCAGGGCACAACCTTTAAGAGCTGTGCTGATAGGCGCCTGGCCATAGGTCTGCAGAGGAGGAGCTGGGCAGATCTGGGGTGCCCTCACTGGCCTCTCTGCGTGTCTGGAGGACTCTGGATTTCTGCGCCCAGACTGCTGGAGTTCCCTCAGGCTTCCAGGTGCAGTGAAGGAGAGAGGTGGGTTTGAGGCTTCCACATCAGCCTCCCCATTCCCGGCTTCATTTGGAGACCTGCTGAGCTCCGGATAGGTGGGCTGGCCCACACTACCAGCCTAGCCCAGCCTGTTTAGCTGCCGCGCCTGGCCATAGGTCTGCAGAGGAGGAGCTGGGCAGATCTGGGGTGCCCTCACTGGCCTCTCTGTGTGTCTGGAGGACTCTGGATATCTCTGCAACCAGGGAGGGTCCACAGGTTCCTGAAGCACTGCGGCCTGTGGTGAGTACCCTAACCCGGCTGCAATTGAAGAACTGTGGAGCTTCCAAGGGGCAGGTGGGCGCACAGTGTCCCTGAGGCCCAGCTTGTCTGGAACTGCAGAGTTCTGAGCAGGCAGAGGAGGGCCACTGGTTCTGTAGGCCTAATGGCTTGGAGTAGCGCGGCGCCAGAGTCCCAGTAGCTCCAAACATAGAAGGGGATTTTCAACAGATCCTGAGGAAGCTTTCAAATAACACTTGAAACACAGAAATATAGGAAAATGACAAAACGAAAGACCAAATTACAACCTCAAACCTCCAGCCCATCTCAAGAAACCCTAGGAGCGATGTATATAGAAGAAAATATATCCCATCCACCTCATATATCGGACACAATAGCCACTGAAATTGACAAGCAACTCCAGGAAGCTTTAAAGAAATTCAAACTCGAAATAATCTCCCAGATAAAAGAAGAAATGATAAAAGAAATGAAAGAGACTCTAAATATATCTAAAGAAAACACAGATAAAAAATTGGAGGAACTAAACAAAAAGATAGAATCCCTAGACGAGCAATATAAGAAACAAACAGAATACATAATGCAGATGCACAGAGATATACAGGAAATAAAAAACTCCACTGAAAGTTGTAAAAACCGCCTTAATGAAAGTGAAGGTAGAATTTCAGACCTTGAAGACAGGATTGCAGCTAGTGAACAGGAAAGGAAAGATCTTTTGAAAATAACAAGGAACCAGGAAACAACAATTCAACAACTGCAAGACGATGCAAAGAAGAATAACATAAGAATGATAGGGATTAATGAAAGAGAGGGAGACAACATGAAGGATGTCAGGAGGATATTTAGAGAAGTAATAGCTGAAAATTTCCCAAGCATGAGATCAGAAACTGACATCAGGATCAGTGAAGCATATAGAACTCCAAACAGTCATAACCAAAATAAAACTACACCCAGACATATAATAATCACCATCCCAGAAATCCAACACAAGAATAGATTATTAAAAGCTGTCAGAGAGAAAAGACAAATCACTTATAAAGGAAAACCTATCAGAATCACAGCAGACTTCTCAGCACAAACGATAAAGTCAAGAAGAGCATGGAGTGAAGTATTCCAGATCCTAAAGCAAAATGATTTCCAACCAAGACTGATATATCCTGCAAAACTATCATTCAAAATAGATGGTGCAATACGATACTTCCATGACAAAGAACAGCTGAAGAACTTCATGAACACCAAACCAACCCTGCAAAAAATATTGAAAGACAGTTTAGATACACAAAGGAAAAAACCACTAAGCAAAGCAAATAATTAAACAGAACCGAAAGATAAAGATGCAACAGCAGAGAGATAACATTCCTACAATTAACCAGCATTTAACAGTAATAACCATTAATGTAAACGGTCTCAATGCACCAATCAAAAGAAACAGACTAGCAGAATGGATCAAGAAACAAAATCCAACCATATGCTGTTTACAGGAAACCCATCTAACCCAGAAAGATACTCACAGACTGAAAGTCAAAGGATGGAAAACAATTCTTCATGCAGCAGGAATCCAAAAAAAGGCAGGAGTAGCCATTCTGTTTGCAGACAACGTGAACTTTAAACCAACAATGACCATAAAGGACAAAGAAGGTCACTACATACTCGTAAGGGGAAAACTCCAAGAGGAAGAGATAACTATCTTAAATATATACGCACCAAACTCCAGAGCACCCAGTTATATAAAACAATTATTAACAGAAATGAAAACTCAAATTATCAGTAACACAATTGTAACAGGAGACCTTAATACACCACTGACACCAAGGGACAGATCAACCAGACAGAAAATGAGCAAAGAAATAACAGAACTGAATCACACCTGTGAACAAATGGGTTTGATAGACATATACAGAATGTTCCACCCAACAACATCAGAATACACATTCTTCTCAGCAGTACATGGATCATTTTCTAAAATAGACCATATATTAGCTCACAGAACATATTTAAGCAAATGCAAAAGAGTTGAAATCATCCCTTGCATATTATCGGATCATAGCGCTCTGAAATTAGAAATTAATGACAAAGGATACTGCAAAAATTCCGCAAACACATGGAAACTAAATAACACACTCTTGAGTAATCAATGGGTCACAGAAGAAATTAAAGAAGAAATTAAACAATACCTAAAAGAAAATGAAAATGCAGATACAACTTACCGGAATCTGTGGGATGCAATGAAAGCCGTTCTGAGAGGAAAATTTATCGCACTGAGTTCCCACATCAGGAAAACAGAACGAATACAAATAAATAACTTGATGCTACACCTCAAACAGCTAGAAAAAGAAGAGCAAGTCAAGCCCAAAGCCAAAAGAAGAGAGGAAATTATAAAAATCAGAGCAGAAATCAATGCAATAGAGACTAAGAAAACAATCCAAAGAATCAACGAATCAAAGAGTTGGTTCTTTGAAAGAATAAATAAAATCGATAAGCCCCTAGCCAACCTTATTAAAAAAAGGAAAGAAAAAGCTCAAATTCATGCAATAAGAAATGAAAAAGGAGAAATCACTACAGACCCAATAGAAATACAAAAGATCATCAACACCTATTTTGAAAACCTCTACTCTCAAAAGTTTGATAACACAGAAGAAATAGACA